TTATGTCCCCAGCAAGCAACAGAGTCAAGGCCAAAGCTGACAGTTGGAAGTTCAAGTTTTGCAAGAACAAAAGAGAAGAAAATCCAAAGAGACAGTGATCCCAGTTTTAGAAAATTGCCTCTGGTGGCGAAGCTCTGCAAAGGATGAATGAGGAGGATCAAAGTGCCTCAAAATAGGTCTGCTAACATTTCCTTTTTGAAGAATGGAAGGAGGGGTGGTGGTTCTTAAAGGCAATTCAGAGCAACTTACAGTCAAGCTGTATTTTAAACAAGTTTTCTTGATTAGTTGGTGTAGTGATGTAGATTCTAGATTGGTCTAGCTGGGTTGATATTCCACCTAAGCCTTGGTTCCCCCATGTGAAAAGCAAGGGTAATCCCATTGTCTATCTCATAGTATTTTAATTAATTAAGTACAATTTTCCACATACACTGTGAAGGACAGTGTCTGCAATGACAAAAGGGATAGGAGATGGAGAAGAAAATAATAAAGTAAGAATAAACAGAGAGGGACCATGCCCAGACTAATGATGAAAGATGATGTGAACCCACAAGTGGGATTAACACAACCCCATGCACCCGAGGTCCAAGGAAAGCAGTAAGGCAAAGGAGCTTTAACACACAGGCTCCGATTTGACTAAATGTGTGACAGACACACATTTGTCTGTTCAGCACCTTTTGACTTATTTCCTCACTTCCCAATGTGTCTGATTAGGTGATAGGCAAGTTCCAGAACAAAGGAGTAGCAAACAAAAAGGAGGTGTAGCAATATATATATATATATATATATATATATATATATATATATATATACACACACACACACACATCAATTGATATATATAAATCTATATATATCTCCACAAACTGAAGGCACATCAGAGGCTCTTTAGGTCAACCCTCTGAGATTGGAGAGGTTGAGCAGCCTGCTCAAAGTCGTGCGGCTAAGGAGATCCACACCAGGACTAGAATCTGAAGATGTCTTGGGTTCTCCCCAGTACATCAGACTGCAAGAGGAATGAAGATAACAATAATCATGTTACTTTATTTTATATCTTCTGTCCAGTAAAAAATGAAAGAGAAGCTTCCATACAGGCATCGTTTGAAGTTCAATTCACAACAGGCTTTACCCTTTAAATGGGTCACTCTGTATCACCATGGTGATTCTTCCCAGTTTTCCTGGAATCATCAGCTGTTTTCTAATGAGGGCACTCCCAGAACTTGCAACTGCACCAAACAGAGATAAATATTTCCCAGTAGAAAAGAGTTAGGTCCTTAAGCTACTTAGTCAGCAATTACTTTTCATTTTCCACGTCTTACTCAAGACAACAGTCTAAAGCATGCTCCTACATTTGCTTTAGATGGCATAGAGTTCTTTTCAAAAACCTGTTGATTCTATTGATGTCAATTCTACTTTCCTGGTTTTTGTTTAAACTATATATTAAGAAAATGCCATCTTCTTGCCTTCTTTCTAACTGAACAGTAAGTATATGACAAGTTAAGAAACTTATAATAGTATGGCTATTCCTCAAAATATTTTTTTAATTACTTATGATTACAGTTGTTGAACTGTACCTCTGGATATATAGACACAATAACTGAAAACAAGGTCTTGAAGAGATATTTGTGCACACATGTGCATAGTAGCATTACCCATGGTACCAAAAGCTGGAAGAAACCCAAGTATCCATTGACGGGTGAATGAATAAACAAAATATGATATTTATAATGGACTATTATTCAGTCTTTAAAAGGAAGAAAATTCTGGCACATGCTATAATATGGATTAATCTAGGAGACATTATGCTAAGTAAAATAAACTAGGAACAAAAAGAAAAAAAACTACGTGATTCCACTTACATGAGGTACCTAGAGCAGTCAAATTCATGGAGACAGAAAGCAGAATGGTAGTTGCCAGGGGATGGGGGAAGGGAGAAATGGGGAGCTGGTGTTTAATGTGTATCAAGTTTCAGTTTTGCAAGATGAAAAAGTTCTGAGGATTTGGTTGCAAGCAATATGAATATGTACTTGATCCTGAACAACAATGGTTTGAACTGCACAGCTCCACTTACACGCAGATTTTTGTCAGTAAATATACAGTCAGCCCTTTGTGTCCCTAGGTTTCGCATCTGCAGATTGAACCAACTGTCAGAATCCACAGATGCATAGGGCCGACTGTATGCATTGTTTGACACCATTTTATAGAAGGGATTTGAGCATCTGGGGGTTTAGGTATCTGTGCGGATTAGAGCCAATCTCTCATGGAATGGTTGAGATGGGAAATGTTGTTGTGTATTTTACCACAGTTAAAAATGGTTTGAGAGAAAGAGAAATAGACAGAGACTGGAAATGTTTAAGTCCTATACAGTTTATCATGAGCATATGTACAGTTAGTATTTTAAATAGTTTTATTAGCCTCATCATAAAGCTCAGTCATAATTGTGAATGCTCACTGGTTAAGGCAGCGAAAAACATCAGTTGATAGCAGTGGAAGTAGGTAGCAAATCAAAGACCAATCAAGACCAAGTATTTACACATTGTTTACCTGAATTTCTCAAGCTTCCACTCAGTTCATAATGATCTCCAATCAGCCTTATATATCTGTTCTCCTAGGTTTGTCAATATTCCCAGAGTGCCCTTGTATAAAATATGGTTTTGGCCAAAATTTACAAACTAGGGTATTGATCCCACAGTGGAAATAATGGTTAATTTCTTAAATGAACAAAATTCATGAAGTTCAAGTCCTGTCACATGACACAGTTCACAAAAATGTTTACACCTACTTTTATGGGTTGAATTGTATCTCCCCAGCCCCACCAAATAAAAATGTACATGTTCAAGTCTCAATCTCCAGTCCCTCACAATGAGACCTTCTCTGGAAATTGGGTCCATTAGATGTGATTTGTGAGGATGAGGTCATACTGGAGTAGGATAGGTCCCCAATCCAATATAACTGGTGTCCTTATAAAAGGGGCAGTTGGGCACAGACACACACACTCAGGGAGAATTCCACATGCACAACCAATGACAAGAAGCACCAATGACAACCAGCAAACCACCAGAAGCTAGGGGTGAGGCGTAGAACAGATTCTCCCTAACGGCCCTGAAAAGGAACTACCACTGCCGAAAACTTGATCTTAGATTTCCAGACCCCAGAACTGTGAGACAGTAGATTTCTTTAGTTTAAGCCAATAAATAAAAGCCTTGGCATGAGCTTCACTAACCCCACTATTTCCTTTTTCCCTGATTTTCTTGCCTCTGGGCTCCGTCTGCTTTTATTCAATTCTCTTCCTCCAGTTTCCCCACCTCTTGAGGCTTTTACTTACTCCAGGCCTCATGGTACATTGTTTAAAATGATCAGGCTATATTTTTATTTAATTTTATTAACTTGTTTTCTTTATTGTAAAAGTAATGCATAGTCATGTTTAAAATTGTACTTTCATGTAATTCAAAGGGAAGGAAAGTGAAAACAAAGAGACTTTTCCCTTCATCTCCCCCAGAGGTAATCTCTGTTAGAGTTGGGTACAGAGCCCTCCAGAATTTTGGGTGCCTATACATGTATGCATCTATGATATATGCATCCATTTTTTAAAAAGATAAAATGTAATCAAATACATGCTGTTTTACAACCTGTTCTTCTTCAATTAATACTATATCTGAACAGTTTTCCATATCAATATAGATAGGTATGATTCTTCCTATTATGGGTGTTCCTTAAGTTATTTAACCAATTCACCAACAAAAGATTTTTATTTTATTTCCAGTTTAGTGCTATTGTAATCAGCACTGAAATGAACATTCTTGTGTGTATAACTGGAGCACTGATTTGAGTATATCTACAGGATTAACGATTCTGCACCCAATTTATGAATGTGGGTGTGGGTTTCCCACACCACCAAGCAATTCTCTGACAACAGCTGGACGTGCTGTGATTCAACTCGATTCTGACACTGTCCAGCTGGAGATAACATCAGATCCCACAGGTTCAAGGCTCAGTCCTACAAGACCTCCTACCACTCTAGATGTCATCACAATTCCAGGTTACCACCTGTTCTTGTGACAGACCAGACTGGAGGTTCCAGCATCCTGGCTGGGTTGAATTAATTGGCTAGAGCAGCTTACAGAAGTCAGAGAAACATTTTACTTACTAGATACTTATTTATTACAGAAGGATATAACTCAGGAACAGCCTTATGGAAGAGATGCAAAGATGTAAACAGGGAAAGGACACAGAGTTTTCGGGTGCCACTCTCCCCAAATCTCCATGTGTTTATCAGTGCAGAAGCTCTCTGAACCCTAACTTTTAGGGTTTTTATGAAGGCTTCATTAGTAGGCATAATTGGTTAGTTCATTGGGCATTGGAGGTTGAACTCAATCTTCAACTCCTCTCCCCTTCTCAGAGGTCAGGAGGTGTAACCAAAAGTTCCAGTTCTCTGATCACATGGTTGGCTCCACTGGCAACCAGCCCCCACCCTAATGAAAGATACCTAATAAGGCATCTCTCTCTCTCTATCATCATCATCATCATCATCATCATCACCATCATCACCATTTAGGAAATTCCAAGAGTTTTAGGATCTGCATGCTAGATACTGATGAAGACTAACATATATATTTCTTATTATAAATCACAATATCACAAGGATAAATCCCTAGCAGAATTATTGGGTCAAAGGGTATATACATTTTATATTTATTTCCATAGATATTTCCATGAACCTGAGTATCTGAGAAAGATGGGGTTAAATCTGTGCTCTGTCACTTACTAGTGGTGTTAGTTCAAACAACTTACTTTATTCATTCTCCATTTCCTGGGCTACAAAATAGATATAAAGTCTGCCTCAGAGTAGTCTATGGATGACAGAATAAGTTTAGTTCAAACTGGTTAGGAGTTGGTTCACATACACTCGTCATCCCTTTCTCTCCTTTGTTTTCTCTTTTCTGATTCCTCCTTGGGTTTTTGCAAAGATGCCATTTCATTTCAAGTCAACAAATATATTTTTTCCCATTCAGACTGTGTTTTCTCCCTCTTACTCTTCCAAAGGAAGAGAAGAACAATCATCAATGGCTATTGGCAGCTGCAAAAGCAACACCAAATGCTGGTTTCGCACTCAGGAGAGAACACTGCGCCTCCTCCTCATGGTTTCGGGTGCTCTACACGTTCAGAGAAACTTCTCTAGTGACAAACTATAGAAAATGACTCCTGAAAATACAGTCCTTCAAGTCAACAAACATCTATTTATAGAACATCTAACATATGCAAGGTTTGACAAATGCTCAAGGATCTCTGATTTTTTAAATACATCCTCTTTTTGGAGTTTATTATATTATATAGGAGAGAAACAGCTCTCAGGTCCTAGAAGCCTGACTTAATGTTATTGAATGAATGAGTCAATGAAGGAAGGAAAGTTGTTGAATGAGTAGCACATCCATTCAAGTGGAGGTCCCAGCATCTGGAGTAGAGCAGGGAGTCAGGACTAATAGAAATGCGGCTTCTCAAAACATTTGTTCTGAATTCCACTTAACGGCAAGGGAGGCGTTGGGGATGAAGGACAGAGCCTTTGGCTAGAAAATTACTTGAAGGCTTGCGGTTTATCTTAAAACTACACATAGAATTTGTATTCTGGTGCACAACATATTGTTTGCTTCCATATAAATGGCCTCCTTCTCCTCAACCCTAGGGTAAAATAAACGCTCCGGGAAGATGTACCGTATTTATCAGGTGACTCAGCTACTTCTTGACATGTGCCCAGGGTGTGCATACCTCAGTGTGAGCAGCACAAGATTAAGATAGGTGGTGAATGAGCTCTCACTTCATGCTTCACCCACTGTCTCCCTACCTGTCTGCCCGAGCAGCCTCATCCCTCCCAACTTTCTGCCACAACTCTTCCCTATTCCTGTTTTCTCTTCAATCCTGATTTTTATTTTCTAATTTTTATGTTGAAATTCCTCAAGAATATTTAAGGAAAATACTCAACTGCAAAACTGTTCCAATAAGTACTTAAGGTCCTTAGCCTCGGGGGATACCCTTCATCCGTCCACATTGTGTTGGGTTGTGGCCCGTCTCATTTCTGTCATCTATGACAATAGACTCTTAGAGGGATGTGGCTTGTTTCATTTAAATCTTGACAAGCACCCAAACTAATGCTGTGATCAATTAATGTTGCTCTGGTTCTGAGCACTCAGTGAAGTGCTCTCCTCTGTGTTTGAAGGGCACTGTAAATGGAACATGTGTGTTGAATTGCTTCTCCAGAGCTCAGGGTGACTCTCTCATCTATCTGCCTCTTCTTCGCTCCCACGGCCTGGGCTCTGGGTCAGGCCCTCATCATATCTCATTGACATTATTGCTCTAGCTTGGGACTTCTTGCCTTTCCACTCCTGCACCCTCCTCGAAGCTCTTAGAGTGATTTTGCTAACACAGAGGTCAGCCATGCCATCCCCCTGCTTAAAATTGAGGTGGCAGTGATCTGCAACTACCTGCAATGACATTATGTTTCACTTACCAGCATGAGTGAGAGAGCCAGACACAAGAGAGTACACGTGTTAAATAAAGCACAGAACCCAGCAAATCCAATCTATGGTGTTAGAAGTCACCGTAGTGGTTAACAAACAGGTACACTGAAAGGTGTTTAACATCACTAACAACCAAGGAAGTATAAGTCAAAACCGCAATGAGACATCACCTCACACCTGCTAGGATGGCTATAATTTTTTTTAAAGCGAGGATGTAGAGAAAAGGGAACCCTAATATACTGTTGATGGGAATGTAAATTGGTGCAGCCACTATGAAAAACAGCATGGCAGTTCCTAAAAAAAATTTAAAAGAGGACTACCATATGATCCAGCAATTCCACTACTGGTCTTTATCCAAAAGAATTGAAATCAGACTCTTGAGGAGTAACTGCACTCCCATGTTTGTTTTAACATTCTCCTCAATAACCAAGATAGGGAAACAACCTAAATGCCCATCAGCAGATGAATGGATAAAGAAAATGTAGTGTGCATATATATGAGTATTTTCCAGGCTTAAAAAAAGGAGGAAATCCCACCATTTCTGATGACGTGGATGGTTCTGGAAAACGTTATGTTCGACAAAATAAGCCAGACACAGAAAGACAAATAGTGCATGATCCCACATGTATGTGGAAGCTAAAATAGTCAAGCTCCTCGAAGCATAGAGTAGAATGGTGGTTGTCAGGCCAAGGGAGGACTCGGGGAGGCAAGAGTCAAAGGGGACAATCTTTCAGTTCAATGGGATAAATATTTCCAGATCTCCCTATACAGCATAGTTCCTATAGCTAACAACACTGGATTGTATACTTAAGATTTGCCAGGAGGGTATGTCTTATGTTAAGTTTTCTTATCAGGAAAAAAAAGAGAATTATCATAAAAGAGACAGGAGGAAGCTTTGGGAGGTGATGGATATGTTTATGGCCTGAATGGAGGTGATAGATTCATGAGGTATTTTTATCCCCAAACTCATGAAGCTGTGTACACTAAATAGGTATAGCTTTTTCCATATCAATCATAGCTCAATAAAATGGTTAAAAAAAAAAGAAGTCAGAATAGAAGTTCCTGGCAGGGATGGGGAGCAGTAGTGATTGGTAGGGACTGTAAAAGGGGTTTCTGGGCTGCGGTTACTGTCGTTCTTCTTGAGCTGGGTGCTAGCAAAATAGGTGTGTTTAGTTTGTGAAAATTCATCAAGTTGTGCACCAATGTTTTGGGCACTCTTCTCTATGTATACTCTTTCAATAAAAGATATAAACAAACAGCATCGTTTGCTTCCCCAGCACGACAAACCATCTTTCACGCAGCTCCCGCCTTTCCCCTCTCAACTGCATTTGTTTTTCCCAGGATCCAACCACACACAGCACACACCACACTTCCTATTTTTTCCTGGTGCCGCTCACTTTGACAGGAAGCCCTTCAGTTGAGAGTCAACTTATCTTTTGAGGCTCTGTTCAGATATCACCTCCTCCTGAGATTTTTTTCCTGACCACCCTCAGCAAAATTCATCGTTCTCTTGTCTGTTCTTTTATAGTACTTGTAATTCTTTCCCTATAGCAGCAGTGACCATACTTTCAATATTTAAAAAAACTCACAGGATTCTTAGTCTGAAAAGTACAGTTATATTTAAAGGGTTATAGGTTAGAACACTGGGATCAGGAATGGCCTAGAATATCCAGGCTGCGTGTAAAACATTGTAAAATAGTAATTTCTCTGGATTTGTGTCTCCATCTAGACCAGACATTCTTTATCTGTTCTGTGCTGTGAATCCCTTTGGCAGGCTGGTGAAGCCAATGGACCCTTCTTTTAAAGTAAAATTTTACTGAATGAAGTACAACAACTATAAGTGCACGAAGTATAGAGGGATGCTAGGTCAATGAATTTGTAGAAGTGAACATCTTCACATTGCTAACATCTGGATCAACAAATAACCCAAAGCCACAGCACCCCTCCCAGCCTCTACCCCAGCAAAGGGTAAACAGTATCTTGACTTCTAACTCCATAGATTTGTTAACCTGTTCTTAAACTTCATATAAATCAAATCATACAGTATGTTCTCTTTTGCATCTGGTTCCTTTTTCGAAATCTTATGTTTGTGAGATTCACCCATGTTGCTGGATGTAGAAGTTGCTTATTCACTCATTGCTGGAGCATTTTATTGTATGAATATACCACTATTGATTTACCCATTCTTCTACTGATGAATATGTAGTTTGTTTTCAGTTTTCATTGTAATGAATAGTGTTGTTATGGACATCCTCATATAAGGTAAATATATATGTACTCATTTCAGAACACTGATTTTAAATGCATAAAATAAAATACATAGGGATATAAAACAAATTAATTAATATGTAGTTTTCAAAATACAAAGCAAGTTTGAGATATGCTTATGTATGTGCTTCTTTATTAACACAATTCTGAGGTCTAGCAGTGGGTCTAATTACTATTATAATTTTGAAGTAATGTACATAAATGAAATTTCAAAAATTCTGTAAAGCTACAATATTCTTTGAAAATGTCTTTGATTTCTGTTAGTGACAAAGTGACACACAGGTCTGTCCAGAAGGTATCCAGCCATATAATATAAAAAATAGAGACACTTATTGAACAAGATACAAGATACAAGAAACATTGTACATAGGACAATGATGCCTCAGTCCCCTTCAAAGTAGACACCTTGAGACCTCATGCAGTTCTGCCAATTGCCATCAGCTGCCTCACTCTATTTTCCTGAATCTCACTGATGGTCTGAAATTGCTTCCTTTTCAAAGATGATTTTAGTTTTAGGAAAAGCCAGAAGTTGCAGGGTGCCAAATTTGGGCTGTAGAGGAGCTGAGTCACCTGGATGATTTGATTTTCACCAAAAACACTCTGCAGCAGACGTGATATATGAGTGGGTGTGTTGTCATGATGAAGCTGCCAATCACCAGTTGCCCATAGATGCAGCCTTCTGAATCATCAGAATAGTTTCCACGGAGGAATGTTCAAGCTTAGTGCAAAATCTGATGCAGCTTTGTTGCTCTACTTGCTCAGTCATTTTTAATATGATGGCCACATAGTACACATGTTCACTCAACAGCATCTACTGACCCCACTGACTAGTACAGTGAAGTCATGATTGTTCACGAATACACATTCCAATCTACTCTCTTTGATTGCCAGGTTATATCAATGTCCTACAAACCATTCTTGTTATATTAAGAAAATGGTTGAACTTTTTCTGGATAGACCTCATATATTATAAATACCTCTATGATTTGTTGTATAAATTCATAATTAAAGGAATGTTAAATTTCAGTTAGAGATTAGTGAAAAATAAAGATGTGATTTTCTCCCCATCCCAGTTCAGAAAGTCCCTGTATTCACATCTGGTCTAGACTTAAAGCCTCTTAAAAGCAAGAATTATATCCTAACCATACTAAAATTTCAGAATAGACACAGATCTTGACACACAGTAGAAGTGCTCAATACATTTTTTGAATGCTAACTCATACATGGTAATCTTTGGTTGAGTGGGTACTATGTGCCGCTAGGCCCTTTGAATATTCTTCTAAAAATGCTCACAACCTTTTGAATACTGCTCCCATTTTGCAGATGAAGACTGGAGGCTTAGACAGGCTATGTAACTTGCCAAGATTTTACCAGCAGTACATGCTGACCAGAAATTGAAAGTCAAGTGTTTCTGACACCAAGTTTCCCAGCTGACCAT